CATTAAATTGAGACGGCCGACAAGCTAGGCAACTACATAGAGTGATGGAGATGTTAATTTGCTTGATTGTGGTGATCTTTTCACAATGCACACATGTATCAAAACATCAAATTGTACACCTTAAGTATATACAATTTTTATTTCAAAAATATCTCAATAAAGCTGTTAAAGTGCGGGGAAGGTACTAGGGGAGTCTGGCTGGAAAAACAACAACAAAAAACAAAAAAAACAAAACAAAATTGATTACCTTTAAAGAAGCTACAGTTAAGACAGCTGAATTCTCAACAGCAAAAACAGAAGCTAAAAGCTATTGAAATGATCTATTGCATATGTTAGAAGCTATCTGTCAGCCTTCTACTCGACACCAAGTGTTGCTTTGGAACTAAAGGTTTCAATTAGTATGAACTCAAGATCTTTACAGACATAGGCAGACACATACATATATTTCCTACCCCTGCCTGCGAAGAGGCCTAAAAGTAATACTATCATAGTGACAGAATCTACATTTTCATCGTCATTCCTCACGGAAAGGAACCAGGAATCCTTGGTGGGGATGAGGGGGATTCCTGGGGGAAGGCCGATCTCAGGGCTCAGCAGAGAAAGTACAAGATGAGCTTGGTTCCTAAGTGTTCACTGATGGGTGAGCAGATAAAATGTATATGCCGTATATACAATGAAATATTATTCAGCTATAAAAGAGAATGAAATCTTGCCACTTGCGACAGTATGAATGGGTTCTGTAAATATTATGCTAAGTAAAATAAGTCAGAAAGACAAATACTATATGATCTTCCTTATCTGTGGAATCTTAAAAAAACAAAAAGGAACAAGTTCACAAACACAGAAAACAGACTGATGATTGCCAGAGGTGGGGGTGGGCAAAATGGGTAATAGGAGTTAAAGGGTATAAACTTCCAGTTATAAAATAAGTCATGGGGATAGAATATATAGCACAGTGACTATATTTAAGATACATATTTGAAAGTTGCTAAGTTAAAAGTCCTCATCACAAGGAAAAAGTTATAGCTATGTATGGTAATGGATGTTTACTAAACTCATTTCAAAATATATACAAATACTGAACCATGGTTGTACACCTGAAACTAATATAATGTTGTATGCCAATTATACCTTAATTAAAAAAAAAGAAGCCAAGACACAAGACAGAAGAAAGATCACAAAGGGCACTGAACACACCCTGAAGAGTTTAGGTTACCAAGAAAGCTAGGCTTTTATGCTGGGAGTCCAACAGAAATGGGTTTACACATTGTAAAGATCACTCTGCTGGTAATATGGAGAACTGAAAGGGGTGCAGAGAGGAATGTG